AGAACACGCACCAAAAATCCCTCGGTTACGCTTCGGGTCGACTTTTATGCAGAGAAGGTTTGAGGTGGCTCCTCTTGGTTCCTTGTTCTCTTTCCGGTTAACTCCATGATGGGGTTACATGGGAAGGGCCCCTCCCACCCCCTTTTGTGTTTCTCTGAAAGCTGCTTTGCTGAAGTCTGGAATTTGGGGGGTTTCTTCGCAACGCCGCGGCTCTTGGGGCGTGGGGTCGGGAGGGTCCTGTCGCTCGCGTGGTCGCCTGAGCTGTTCGGGTGGACGGTCGCTCTGCCGCTGCTGCCGTCAAAATGCTGGTTGATGTGGGAAGTAGGAAAGCTTCAGGCTTCCCACATGGAATCCCTTCCGGAATTTCAGCGTCGGATGGCAAGCTGAGAGCCTGACGCATGTAGGCGGGAGGAGATCCAGCCTGTGGAGTTAGCGTGCGTCCGGACGCGCAGGGAGTGAATCCGGAGGCTCAGACCAAGCAGTGCTGGGGCACGGATCCACTTGGCTCCCGCCGCAGCGCCGGGACGGCGCCGTCCCTAACGCCCAGCCAGGTGGGGCGAGGATGCAGCGTAACCCGCAGTTTTCACTGTCCTTCCCAGAAAAGAGCTTCTCGGAGTCCTCTTGCTGGGAAGCGGCTCCTTGGCCATCGTTCCGGCTTCTGGATGCATGTCCGGCCAGGGCTGAGCGGTGGGCTAACGAGGGAAACGCTCATCTCCTCTTCTGGAGCCGTTGCTCCGTGTGCCGCCCGAAACTTGCCGCTGTTACCTGTGGGGCAATCCCAGACGGCCATGCGGGATCTGCAGGGCGAGGTTTGGCCTGGCCTTGCTGCCGCTCTCCGAGCCTCACGGTTTGTTGTCTTTAAAACCCCTGTTTTCGGATGCTCGTTGGAATTCGATGTTCCCTGCGGTGTAGGCGCGCTTTGTCTTTAAAACCCCTGTTTTTGGATGCTCGTTGGAATTCACTGTTCCCTGCGGTGTAGAGCGGGGCTGCGGCGGTGTGGCTCTACCCCCACCCCGAGCATGGCCGGTGCCTTGAGGCCGGAGTTGAGGGAAGACGCGCCGGGGTCCTGCTCCGGCTCCGCAGAGGGTGGCCGGAACGAGCTCGGGAGCCAGCAGCGCCTCTGTTTCTGCTCTGACATGGGAACTGTAGGCTGTTAACCAGTGGCAGCGTTCCGTGGGAGCCGTTGATTGGCGTCACTCCGGCATGTCGAGGCTGAGCCGGGGCCGCCTGGTCCGCAGAAAGCGGCCGTCCCGGGAGTTCTTGCGCAGCCCGATTCGGGTTTCCGCTGCGATGAACAGTCGGTGAGAAAGAAGTGGATTTTCCAGGAAATGCAACTGCAGATTTCTGTGAGAGGGCGTTCGGAAACCACGCGAAGATCCAGTTGCAGTGAGGCAAGTTGAGTGACATCATCTTCCTGGAATCCGTGGCCACTGGGGCTTTGGATTGTGGTAACACGGAGCGGTTCCTCGTAAGAGGCTCTGTGAGGTTCCCCCCGGCACGTGGTGCTGGCGGAGAGCGTCGGGCCGGCTCACGCCAAGGGGCCGCCTGTGGGTCGAGGGCCGAGGCCAGCTGCCCGGATTCTGTCCCCAGGGCTGGATGCCCTTGCTCGGTGATTGAATTTGGGAATTGGAGATGGGCAGGAAGCAGCCTGATCCCACGAGGGGGATGTGCTGGCCGGGGTGGTTCCTGCCAGGGTGGGGGCTGCAGGCCAGGCCCGGCGGGGGGCTGTGCCTTGGTCCTGTGCTCATGGATTCCTGGATCTCGTGGGGGTTGCTGGTGGTGCTGGGGTGTGGTTTTGTCCTGTGGACAGGCTCCTGCCATGGTTCTCTCAGAC